GATCAAGCAAATCAGGTGCAAACTCTCTCTTTAGGTATAGTGAAGCTTTATCTTCAGTGTCAAGGAGCTACACCATAGAGCAGCGGTTCTCCACCTGTGGCTCGCGACCCCTTTGGGGGTTGAACGACCCTTTCATCCCATTCATGACAATAGCAAAATCACAGTGATGAAGTAGCAACAAAGATAATTTGATGGTTGGGGGGGCACCACAACTTGAGGAACTGTATGAAAGGGGCGTGGCTTTAGGAAGCTTGAGACCCACTGACATGGAGTCTTGAGAGCAAGGTTAATGGCAGAAAAACAGACTAAAGAAACAGCCTGGGCTCCCCGCAGAAACCAAACCCACTGCAGCAGGGAGCCGTGTGGGACTCGGAATGGCCGAGACGACATCTGTAAGGGAGAAGTGTCCTCTTTCTCTCGCCGTCTGAACTGCTAGCCTTGCAATTCAGTCTTGCCCCCGAGCGCCGTGCTACAGAGCCCCGTAGTCTTAAGGCATGGCCACACTTCCCCAGCCTTTGACTCTTACATATTCCTCCGTCTTTCTTCCGCTGCGCCTCCCTCCCAACTCCTAATCTTGTCAGGGTCCCTCCAGTCGCTTTCCGCCGCCTCCTCATTCTGTTCTCATGATCTCGTCCTGCAATTTTTAACATCCCTTTCTGGTGAGACTCTGTCGACCCTCAGATCTACTGCCCCTAAATGGATAAAAACAAAACTCACTGCCACTGAGTTAATGCCGACTCCCAGTGGCCCCTATAGGACAGGGTAGAACTGCCCTGTGAGCTTCTAAAACTGTTACTCTTTACAAGAGTGGAAAGCCTCATCTATCTCCTGCACAGAGATTGGTGGTTTCAAACTCAGGACCTTGAGGATCACAGCCCCACATGTAACTATTAAGCTACCAGGGCTCCACAGTGCCTGCTTATTATATAAAAGTAAAGCAATCCTAAACTAATTTGAGGCCCAATCCTTTTAGAAAGTGTCATAATCATTTTTAGCACTCACGGCACAGCAATTACAAGTGGGAAAGTAAAAAATATTTCATACAGATTGGATAACAGTTATCTTAATTGTGCCTAAACACCATTAAGTAGAAAGAGAATTGTTAGTTCTCTTATTAAAAAGAAATGCTGCTTAGTTTGCTTAAATGAAGTAAGATTTGGTAGCAAATTTGAAAATGATATACCTCTGACTGAATCTTAAAATATAAATGCCCCAATAAAATGATGAGAAAATAATAATAAAAAGAAAGCTAAGACAAAACAAATAAATAAATAAAATGGAAACAAAATAAAATACAAATGGAAACTTTACTCAGCTGTATTAAAATACCTTTAAAATCAATCAAAACTGCTGTCAGAGACTGACCCTTGGAGTTTGCGCACATTACAGAGCTTCATTCTAAATCACCAGCTCCTGTTTCCTAGTTCCTCTGCAGGGATATGCCGGGTGGGTGTGGACAGTCCACACTCGTTCATCAAGTGCGCAGGGGTGGTGTCTGTGCTGCTTCCTGTCCACAGTGCTGGAGGAAGGAAAACTCGCTGCTCAGAGTGGTCCCTGCCTTCAGGGAGTGGGGTGAGAAAGACAACACATCAAATACTGTGTTCAACCTAGAAATGTCAAGAAATAATAAATATCATGAATACAAATATGAAGAGTAAGAGGGTGGAGAGGAAGTTGGGGAAGAAGACTTTTTATAGAAGGTGAAAGTGGTTGAAGAGACGGACCCCCTGCAAGAGGCGTATGCTGTGTTTCGAGAACCAAAGAGCAGTGTTGCTCGTGTCAGCCGGCACAAGCGAGTGCTCCCACACTAGGAGACTTCTGAGTAGACAAGAGAATCCCTTTGTTGGGTGGTAAACAGATGGGGGAAAGGGGTCTCCATCTGAAAGAGGTTCAGTAGGAGGCTTTTGCAAGTTGTGAGAGATGGTGGTTTGGACTGGGCTGGTTGCTGTGTAAATGCTGAGTGCTCCCATGGGAAAGCGTTTCCGAGGTCAGTCATTGGACTGACAGACTAGAAGTGCCCTCCAAAGTGTTTGCATGGCTGTGGCCTTTTGAAGGCCGATTAGCAGGCCTCCCTTCCAAGGTGCCTCAGGGCTAGACCTACCAACCTTTTCGTTAGTAGCGTAGCATTTAGCCATGTGTGCCACCCAGGGACTCTTCTATAACGCATCCAGAAATGTTTTCTGATATCCTATTTGGCCTTCAGTAGTTACTATTAGCACATATTTCTTCTTTCCTTTATAGAATATAAATTGCTGGAAGGCAAGGAATGTTGTATGTCATATTGAAAAGATTTTTTAAATGAACGGAAACTGTTGCCATCTAAATTCCAACCCACAGGAATCCCTGTGCTCCTGAGTAGAGTTGCTCTCTGTGGAAGCAGATTCCCCACTCTTACTTCCATGGGGCCCCTTTGAATAGTAACTGAGCACAAACTGTTTGCGCTGTTCAGGACGCTATTAAAAATTTCACCTCGCATTTTGTTAGAGTTTAATATCTCCATTTAATCTTTAAATCCTCTCAAGGGTTTAGTACAGTGCACTGACCACATCAAAACCCAAAGCCATTGGCGTCTAGTCCATTCCGACTCCACTTGTATTCAGAGTAAAACTGTACTTAACTCCACAGGGTTTTAAATAGCTGGATCCAAGAAGGAGCCCTGGTGGCATAGCGGTTACTCTGCAAGGTCAGCAGTTTGAAACAAGCTTCCTGGTCCTCTGGAGAAAGACTGGGCCTTAACTACTGTCAAGAGTCACGGTCATGGAAGCCCACAGGGGCAGCTCTACTCTGTCCTGTATGGTCACTATGAACTAGCATCAACTTGATGGCAGTGAGGTTATGTGGTTTTTTTGTTTTTATCTCAAAAGAGGACAATTTTATTTAAAAAACAAAGACAAGTACAATATGCTCATGCAGTGCCTGTAGGTGTCAGTTGTTCCAACAGAACAAGGACATATAGTGTATGATTTAGAATCAGGAAACGTGTGCATCGGGATTGCGTCCTTTGGTCGCATCTTTAAAATCTGTATGTTGAGAACATAATCTAAGAAGTTGGACTGTAGGAAGAAAAACAATGCATCAGATGGGAGGAAGGCTTATTAACAACGAGACACACAGATGACAAGACTTTGCTTGCTGACAGTGAAGAGCCCTTGAACCACGTGCTGATGAAGGTCATAGATGTCAGCCTTCGGTATGGATTGCAACTCAATGTAAACAGGACCAAAATGCTCACCACTGGACCAACAAATAGCATGATGATAAATGGAGAAAAGACTGAAAATGTCCAGGATTTCATTTAGTCGAATCCATAATCAATGCTTGTGGAAACAACAGTCAAGAAATGTGTCACTATATTGCCTTGGGCAAGTCTGCTGCCCCAAAGCTTTCTTAACATGTTGGAGAGCAAGGTGGACACTTTGAGGACGCAGCTGACTCGAGTCATGGTATTTTCAATTGCCTCACATGCGAGACGGAAGGAGAATCCGGGCATTGAATGGCGGTGCTAGTAAAGAATATTGAAAATACCATGGAATCCCCAAAGAACAAATGAATCAGTCTTGGAAGAAATGCAGCAAGAATGCTCCTTATCATCCCCTTACAGAAGGGTCACAGGGAGGAGACGAGCCAGTCAGGGTACAGTATAGCAATGATGAAACATACAACTTTCTTCTAGTTCTTAAATGCTTCCTCCCCACCCACTATCATGATCCAATTCTACCTTACAAATCTGGCTGGACCAGAGGATGTACACTGGTACAGATAGGAACTGGAAACACAGGGAATCCAGGGCAGAAGAACCCTCAGGACCAGTGCTGAGAGTGGTGATACCGGGAGGGTGGAGGGAAGGTGGGGGTAGAAAAGGGGAACCGATCACCTGGATCTACATATAACTGCCTCCCTGGGGGATGGACAACTGAAAAGTGGGTGAAGGGAGACATCAGACAATGTAAGACTTGACAAAATAATAATTATAACTTATCAAGGGTTCATGAGGTGGGGGGGAAAGGGAAGGGAGAAAATGAGGAGCTGATACCAAGGGCTCAAATAGAAAGCAAATGTTTTGAGACTGATGATGGCAACAAATGTTCAAATGTGCTTGACACAATGGATGGATGGATTGTGATAAGAGTTGTACGAGCCCCCAATAAAATGATTTTTTTAAAGTGCATGCATACTATTGGAGCTTAGTTAGCATTGTCCTAAACTAGATTGGTTTAAACTAAGATGTGTACTATAACCCCCAGCTACTAACAAAATAACTCAAAAATAAATAAATACAAATGAACCAACCAAAAAAAAATGCTCCTTATAAGTGAGGGTGATGAGACCTCTTCTCACCTACTCTGGGCATGTTATCAAGGGAGACCAGTCCCTGGACAAGGACTCGTGCATGACGAAATGGACGGATACAATGGCTGCAACACCGGTCTCAAACAGAACAACAATTGTGAGGGTGACAACAGTCGGCAAGGTTTTGTCCTATTGTTCACAGGGTCGCTATGAGTCGGAACCGGCCTGACAACACCTAACAACATTTGATCAGCGAGCAAAAAGTTCTAGGCTGGGTCTAGCTTCCAATCACCAGACATCAGCACTAGGAAACTGTGGCATTGTCCAGTGAAAGCCCTCCATAAATTAAAGTAAAACAATTCCAGAACAGGATGGGGATAGGATAGGACTAATATTGTAAAATTATCATTGCTCTCAATTTTTTATTTCAAATGTATTCCTTGGATTTATCACCAATCTAACTTTTTTTGTTAATCTAGCTATATGTACAAGAGGGCTTCAAAGAGCCCATGGAAATTTTTTATCTTTCCACTAAGGCCCTTTGTATTATCTGGATGTGCTGTTTAAGTAAATAGCTATGTAAGACCTTTTACCAAAACATTAACTTTAAAAAACAGAGATTTAAAGACTCAAGAAAATTCCTCCCTTATGTGTATACCCAAACTTTCAATCAGTGTGTTAGTTTTCCCCTTCATTTTTGTCCTTCTCAGTTCACAGAAATCAGTCACCGAATATTATGTTCATATGACACAAACATAGACGAGCTCTTTTCAGAAATTGATCACTGCTTAGCTATTAATAGACGCGTTCTCCAGCAGCTGGAAGAAAAATGTGGCCATGGAATCACAGAAAAGGATTGGGATAAAATTCAAATTCGGGTAAGCCTCGTCCACAATCACACCAGTGACCAAGAATTTGACACAGTGATATTTGAGGAAAATTTCAGCTGAGTTTGTTCATTTCTGGAACATTCATTTTGGGGTAAAGCCTACCAATGCCAAGCCCAGAATATTTTCTGCCTAGCTGTGGTCTAGTCCAGCAATGAGGCCCAAAGGCTCCCTCGGGCCTTAGCCTCGAGGACACTGATCATTCCCAAGGTCCCTGTACTTCACACCCTAATTGGAATATATCGTTTTATGAAAAGTGAAGGTGTTTAAGGGGGAAAAAAATCACTCAAAAATTACAAAAGTAGAATGTTTTAAAGCATAGCAGCTATTCGTCAACTATCTTGAGAAGTACTATTTATCAATTTTGCATTTTATAAAATGTTATGGAAGAAGCACAACAGCATGTGTGACCACGAGCTGTCAAAGGGATCAGGTACCAAGCATCCAAGAACAAAAAATCTTATCATTGTAAAGGTGGGTGAGTGCAGAGTAGAGACTCCAAGGCCATCGGTGGGCAACTGAACAACCCCTTACTGAGGGGTTGTGGGGGGGAGACGAGTCAATCAGGGTGCAAGTTATCAACGATGAAACGTAACTTTCCTCTAGTTCTTTAATGCTTCTTCCTCCCCCACTATCATGATCCCAATTCTACCTTACAAATCTGGCTGGACCAGAGGTTGTACATTGGTACAGATAGCAACTGGAAACACAGGGAATTCAGTATAGATGACTCCAGGGCCAATGGTGAGAGGGGCAATGCCTGGAGGGTGAAGGGAATGTGGGGTAATAAGGGGGAACCAATTATAAGCATCTGAGTATTGCCTCCTCCCTTGGGGATGGACAGCAGAGAAGAGGGCGGAGGGAAACACTGGACAGGGTAACTTATGACAAAACTATAATAATTTATGAACTATGAAGGGTTCATGAGAGAGGGGGGAGTGGGCAGGGAGGGGGAAAATGAGCAACTGATATTAGGGGCTAGAGTGGGAGGCAAATGTTTTGAGAATGATGAGGGCAACAAATGTGCATATGTGCTTGACACAATGGATGTATGTGTGGATTGTGATGAGAATTGTACGAGCCCCCAATAAAATAATTTTTTTAAGTTGTATGTCAGAGGTGATCTCTATGCCACTTCCATATTTCATAAACTATATATATTTTTCATTCTCTCTATATGTATACATATATAGTTATGTTGTCATTGTAGCACAGTTACATTAAGTAACTTCCTGTTATGATAGGCCCCATAACCACACTCCTGTCCTCTCCTTTGTCGCAGGCACTGCATCAGGAGATCTACGAATGCTCCATCTGCCTCACCCCACTCTCGGTGTACAATCATTTGCAGAGTGCCTCTCCCGAGGAAAGCCACAACCAGCGTTCTCGTGAGACTGTGCTCCTGTCTTGCTCCCATATGTTCCACCACACTTGTCTTCTTGCTCTAGAAGAATTTTCCTTGGGAGAAGTGTATACCTGTCCTCTCTGCCGCTCTTGCTATCAGAAAAAAATTCTCGAATGCTGAATTTATATTTAGGAAAATTCTGGGGACGAAAATGTTGTCTTAATTTTGGAAGAATAACACACGTTCTGGATTAAGTACTATAGGCTAATTGATTGTCGAAATGAACTATTAGTGCATGTGCATGAGAACTCTGCCTATATTTTTAAAACTGGTTACTTGTCTGGTTTTAGACTTTTCCTCTATTAAAAAACAAGCTGAAATGCATGACTTTCATAAGGTGAAATAAATGAGGAGTCACTAGAAATCTGAGGTCCAGATCTTCTGTCATTTATTGATTTGTCATCATCAGCCTTCTGAATGATCCGTAGCTGGCTTGGAAGAACATTAAAGTTACTGACCACTTGTCAATTCTGATTGGCACCAACTAGTTTGACCAGAATTTGACAATACACCGGTCTTCTGAACCCAGACTCCATTACACTGTTACTTTGAATATGCTGCCTGACTAACAAGGACACTGAAAATACTATTAAGATATGTTCAAATATCTTCCATTAAAGCCACCCCTAATACTTGCTTTGTAATAACTGCTTTATTTCTATGTAATATATGACTGTATTTTTGACCACTTAGAATATATAAGCTGAAAATTAAAAAACAAAAACAAAAAACATTCAGTGGTACTTAACATTACATCATAAAATGACAAATCAGGGAACTCAGGGGACTATGACCACTGGGTAACAAGCTTGGGAAAATCTCTTCAACAACTACCAGAGAGATCCCAACAGGAGGGAGGACTTATGCTCCCTGGCAGCCAGAAACACAACTGAAAAGCTGAGTCCACCGTTTCTTCATGTCGGAGGTAGCAATACCTGTTGACTCCGACCCACTACCTTTCATCCTTGAGCAGTGGCCCACGCCGTCTTCTGTGCACGCTTTCTCCTTCCCAGCCCGTAATCAAACCCAAACCCAACTAGACAACCATCTAACCTTGCTGGCCTCTGGGGTCCTGCGTGGATAGCAGACTTCATGGGCAGCATGAGGTAGACATCCTCACTGTCAAGCAAAGCTTTTCATCATTTTTTCCCCCTTCTTGTTTCCTCTCAAGTACCCCTCCTCCCAGACCCTCCCTCCCTGGGTAGTAGATGAGTGCACAGGGATCCCCAACCACATGGTGGCCTTATCTTTGTTACCTTTATTTCTTCCCCCCTTGGGTTTTTGATCTATTTCAATATTTAGTTCTTCTTTCCTCGTACTCTCCTACTTCCTGTACACCTGCAACCCTGCCCCCTGCAAAAACATAATACCTAAGCCTCCAATACATAAGCCCTGCAGATCCAGGAAAATCCACCAAAACCATCGTTATTGTTCCAACCGGTTTTTTTCTCTTTTACTCCCTGGGAGCACAGATCCACCCATGTCCATGTTACCATAGCAACACAACTCCAGCACCCACTCTTCTTCAACATCACGCTGGAAAGTCTTAGGCAGAACATTCCTGGGGTGAGGTCCAGGTAATATGGCAGTCGCCAGACCAAATCCAGGGATACATATGATAGCCAAGTAAAGGGGGGGGGGAAAAAAGAAAAAGAAATGGGTATCAGGGGAACAGGGCACTAACCCACCCAAGGAGAGGGTATCGTTTATATCTCCACAGGGAAAGAAGGACCAGACCTCAACCCGGTGCTCCAAAATGTGAATGCAACATACCTGCATGAAGCAGGGAACCAGTAGAGAAGTCTGAGGGGGCAGCGCCAATCCCCAACTACATGGACAGTCATCCCTCCCCCCAGAAGAATTTACTTCAGAGGACAGCACTTAAGCTACAGCTCAGGAAGAGGGACATGTCTGATCAGAGCTCACAGGGGCAAATGAAGGGGGAAGAAGAGAGAGTAGAGCATATCCTGGCCCACCAAGCCTTGAGGACAATATCCCTGCTCAGAGCAACCAATGCACAGAGAGGACAATATGGCCAGCCCCACTATGAGACACTACATTCCTCACTGACCCGTAGCCCTACAGAGGTCAACACTGGAGACATAATGGGGGAATTGCACCCAAACTGACCCCACCACACCGAGGCAAAACACTAAGGGTGTGCAACAGAACAGCAAGGGGAGCAGAGCAAGGAAGTCCTGAGGGAATACCAAAAATAGACTTTGGGGCCAGGGCGTGGTACCTCATAAGATTTGACCAGAAAACACCCCTAAAGTTCAACAAACAGACCTTGAGCTATTTATAGGCCTTTGTGTGTGTGTGTCATTGGTTTTGTTTTCTTTTGTCACTTTGTCTTGCTCTGTCTTGTTTTTGTTTTTTGTTTTGTACATATTATTATCTCTACAGGTTTATCTAGATAAGATAGGCTGGATAAACAATCTGGAGGAGAAAACAATGGGACTGAGGGTTCCTGGGGGGGGACATGGGAGAGGAAGAGGTGGGGGAAAGGAAGTGGTATTAACAAATCCCGGGACAAGGGAACAAAAAGTGATCCAAAATCAATGGCGAGGAGGCTGTAAGAGGCCTGGTAGGGCTTCATCCAAGGCAATGTAACCAAGAGGAATTACTGAAACCCAAATAAAGGCTGACTGAGTATGATAGCAGGACAAGAGGAAAGTAAAAGGAAATAGAGGAAAGAACTAGGAGGCAAAGAGCATTTATAGAGGTCTAAATACAGGCATGTACATATTTAAATATATTTATATATGATGATTGAGAAATAGATCTATGTGCATATATTTTTAGGTTTAGTATTAAGGTAGCAGATGAACATTGGGCCTCCACTCAAGTACTCCTTCAATGCAAGAACACTTTGTTCTAATAATCAGATCTAATTATCTGAGATGCTCACCTTTCAGACATGATTGCTATCCTGAATTCCATGTGTTGGGAGCTCTTATCTCTACCAATGTGTGTGCTCTGGTCTAGCCAAATTTGTAAGGTAGAACTGAGTCATAGTAGTTGGGGGAAAGAAAGTATTTAGGAACTAGAGGAATGATGTGTGTTTCATTGGTTCTACACTGCACTTAGTTGAATTGTCCCTTCCTTGGAACCCTTACATGGGAGTATGTCCAATTGTCTACAGATGGCCTTTGAGTCTCCAATCCAACCCCCTCTTTCACATCGATATAATTGTTTGTTTTGGGTCTTTTGATACCTGATAGCTGATTCTGTCGACACCTCATGATCACACAAGCTGGTGTGCTTCTTCCATGTGGGCTTATTTGCTTCCCAGGTAGATGGATGCTTGTTGAACTTCAAGCCTTTAAGACCCAGATGCTCCATCTTTTGATAGCAGGGCACCATCCACATTTGCTTACGCACCCATTTTGTCTTCAGCATTCGTGTTGGGAAGGTATCAAAGAGTGCCAGGTTATTAGAACAAAGTGTTCTTGTGCTAAGGGAGGCCTTGAGTAGAGGCCCAAAATCCTTAACATATGAATATATGTACATTGACCTCTATCCCTTTCATTATAATTTAATATATTTACATATATACATGCCTATAGCTATACCTCTATAAATACCTTTTGCTTCCTACTTCTTTCCTCTATTTCCTTTCACTGTCCTCCTATCCCACTATCATGTGCCCCCTTCATTCAACTCTTGGATACATTACACTTGATCAACCCCCACCAGGCATTTTACACCCTCCTCACCATCAATTTTTAGATCTATTGTTGCTCCCTTATCCCTGAGTTTGTTGGATCCCCACTCGCCCTCCCTGCCCCCTCCCCTCCCATATCTCCCTGGACCCGCTGATCCCGTTGTTTTCTCCTCAGGATTGTTTGTCCTACCTATTTTATATAGATGGACATAGGGCAAAAACAAAAACAAAAAAAGAGAGAGAAAACAACCAATAGTTCCAGGTCTGTCTTTTGACCCTTCTATATGTTTTCTGATCAAGTCTGATGAAGAGCCAAACCCTGTCCTCCAAGTCAGGAGTCTATGTTCAGGATTCCTCAGGGACTTGGTCACTTTGCTCCCCTTGCTGCCCTATTGCACTCCCTTCACGCTTCACACCACTGTGCAGGGGGCAGACCAGACACATTCCGCACAACGTCTCCAGTGCTGTCCCCATAGCACGATGGGTCAGTGAGGGAATGTCGTGGCTCATGATGGGGCCGGAGCTATGGTCCTCTATGTGCATTGGCTACTCCAAGCAGGGATGTCATCCCCGGGGCTTGGTGGGCCTTGATGAGGTCCACTTCTCTCCCTCTCTCTCCCTCTTAGTTCACTCCCGTGTAGTCTGAACAGACCTGCCTCTCTCCCTGGGCTATATCTTCAGTGCACTCCTCTCCATTACCTTCTTCTGGGGAGGGATTAACATAGCTCAGCTTGAGCCCGGTCCCGTCATCCTCTCTGTTAGTTCACTAGAAATTAGAATATTTTAAGCAATGAGTAAAGACATTTATTGTAAGATAACAGAGATAGTAGGTTAACAAAGGTTCACTTCAGCAGGCATCACTTTTCCAATCAGAACATCAAAGAGCAGAGGTTTCTCCCTGTCTCCTGACAGAGCACAGGCCAACCCAGTCTGATTCCATGACCCCAGCGATGAATCTAGAGGGAATGTCCCCGAGATTCATGACTTACTCAGAGTGCGGGGGGTGATAGAAGGGCATGCCAGTGGACGTGTCCTCGCACCATTGTCCTGGTGACACAGTCTTACTTGCTACTGACAGACTGTCTTAGCAGGAGCCTGTCTGTTTTATCAGTCTTTTTCTCCAGCTTCCTCGTGGAATCTATGAGCGATCAGCTATTCTTCCAGTTAACTCCTTCATGCTTGACTTGGCAGAATCCATTTTTGATGCTTGTGACCAAGTATTTGTTTACATAGAAATCAGTGTTAGCTGTAAACAACAAGTACTCAGGTAAACCAGTGGGGGCGAAAGCTGGACTTAGATATTGGAGATAATGACCGTGAAAACCCCAGGAGTACTCAGGATGGAGTCTCAGGCACCTTCTTTTGCAATAGTCAATAGTCAACCAGGTACGTTTCTTACTGAAACTTGGCCAACTGGACTAGCATGCCCACACAAGGCTTACTTCCATGGAGACCTCCTTGCCACCACCAAATAATACAAAATGCCTTCAATTCTGTAAATCCGGACCAGTGAAAGTTAATAACTCATTTCAGTTCAAGCCACATTCTGTCCA